TTAGTTTTTGACCCTTGCTACGAACAAGACAAGGATCAATCACGCTGTCTCAAAGCACAACGCAGCCACCTGCAGAGGGAACCCCACCTGCACCACATGGCCACATTTATACTCTGGAGCTTTGTACCTGAGCTGCAGTTTTAGTGTTGTGCAAACTGGACCATCAGATGCTCCCCAACCCTCCCTCCTCCAGCTGCCAGGGTGCAGTGAGGGTTGGTGGGGCGCTGGGTGCCAGGAGCTGCTGGGGGAACCCCACGGGGCTGGCAGGGCAGCCCTCCCATCACCACAGGACATGAGAGCTGCCCAGGAGCCTCTCCTCATGGTCAGCAGCAGTGAGGGGCAGCCCTCAGCAGCCCCAGCCCTAGGCTGGCCCTGAGCCCCAGCACCAAACCTCCAGGAGGGGAGATGCTCCCAGGGTCTGGCACAGCCTTGCAGCTCCGTCCTGCACTGTCAGCAGCTGAGAGGGCTGGGGGGCTAAAGAGTGAAGAGCTGCAAAAGGATCTGACATAATCCCCTCAGAGCATGCACAGCATGGGTTTTTAATCCAAGACACGTATTTAATCTGAAATTAAGAGCAGGAATCAGGGATATAATCACCTGGTCCTGTCACTGTGCTTTCTTGCTTCTCAGCACAAGGAAGGGAGAGAGGAAGGAATTATTGAAGTATGAAGAAGGATGTCAAGCAGAAAATCCTGAGAGTTACTAAGGTGTCAGAAATATTTTTTCTCTGTTGGCTCAAAAACGTTTTTTCAGTATATATTTAAGTCTCCCCTACAGCCTGCAGGAAAATGGCCATTTCAGGAAGTATTTACTGGTGGTAACTTTAATTCTTCTGTTTTGCAGGGGCACAAGAGGAAAAACTGGAAGGTGAGGAGATTTGTTTTGAGAGCTGATCCTGCTTTTTTGCACTACTATGACCCCACTAAGGTATGTGAGTGGGAGTTACTACCCCCAGACATCCTCTTACAGATCTGAACATTACAATGAAAATACAATGATACTGTAAGTGTTTCTCTCACCCAAATCACCTTCTGGATTCCTCTATCCATTTCCTGGGGAAGAAGACCTCTCTGGCCTTACCCTGGGAGGTTGTCCTTGTAGGATTTTCTATCCCTGCATCTTCCTCCCTGTCTTTTTCACCAGTGAGACTCCTTTTCCTTAGCTGAGGGGCAGCAGTCTTCTTGGGGTTGGTCTTTTGCTGTACCCACACAGTGTGGGACCATACTCCTGTCAGGATTCTTCCTGGGCTGTGATCTTTCTGGGCTGACATTCCACCACTTGAGGGTCATACTGCTACTGGGATTTTTTTTACATTCTTATTCCAACATCGAATATGGTCTTCTTGTTGCCAAAGTATGTATAGGAACTTCTGCTACGCAGTTTTAAACTTGCTCAGGGAATAGTAAAATTTATCTTCTTGGATATAATAACCAATGTGAGCGAGAAGGGCATGTGGATCCACCACATGCACAGGGTACCACAAAGCCCAACAGGTTGCTAAAAGGACATGTACAGAAATGCTTTATGTGACTTTTAAAGAAAACACAAACAATGTAACAGTGAAAAGAGCTTATGGAGCTCGTTCATTTTTTTGTTGCCTATTTCCTTATGGGTTTTTTTTGCACTGCAGCTTGCTTTTGTCATGCAATAAACTCAAACTGTAGAATCTGAAAATCAGATAAGAGAGCCAGCCTACTAGTGAGAACAGTCAAATTTTTCCCATACAGTCTCGGTGAAAAACAGCAAGCTAAAAACTTGCAGAAATATATATTTTTTAATACGGTTGTTATTGATAAGACTATACATAAGTTTGAAATGTGATTGTTAGCCTACCCTTGTGCTTTTAATTGATCTCCACCATTCCCAGCTGCATCAGAGAAACATCTGAGGATCAGAGAAACAACATAGTAACGCATTTAGTTACATGTCCTAATTGACTTCTCTTGTGACATGGATGTTTTATATCTGGAAAGATGACATTACATCTCCATCTTCATAGAAATAATTGATGTGCTCTGGGAAATTATTCTAATGATGATATTTTCCAGATAAGCCTCATTTCCTTTTTCTTCGCAGGAGGAAAACAGGCCAGTAGGTGGATTTTCTCTTCGTGGCTGTCTTGTCTCAGCTCTCGAGGACAATGGAGTCCCAGCAGGTAAGCATGAGCCTCTGAACTTTCATACATACATATTCATGCGATAGCAATACAGTCTTTGGGTGTCAGTTTGTGTGTATGGTTGGCTGTATGCACAAGTGGGCTGGCCTTTCCTCTCCCCTTGCAAGTAATGGAAGATGCATACCATAAGAAATCCCCATACTGATGGGTTGTCCATATAACCAGAGGTTGTAGATATAACCAGAGGGGATTTTTTTTTTTTAGCGTTATTTCCACTTATCTTGGGTGTTCTCCTTTGTACGGGCTTTTCTCAGTCAGATGATCTCTGAGACAGGCCCAAGATGCTGATTACTATTCCAGAGTTAACAGACAAAGAGGAAATGCCTTCTTTTTGGATGTTGTTTAACTGAAAGTCTTGAGGCATCCTCTGATGCCATCCTTTTTCTGTGCGTCCTCTCTACTTACAGTATTAGCTTTTCCTTTGTGATATGCTAGAACCCAAATGTAGGGGAGACATAAAGACAGCAATACAAAAAACAGGTCTGCTAGTGAATATGCTTAGCTTAGGTGTTTGTCTAGAACCTCAGCCTCACAGGTAAGCGTTTCTGCTGTTAAAGCAATTTATTTTAAGTGTGGGTCTCAAATAGGGAGCATCTTTCTAAAGACAAAAGACAGGGTCCGAAAAGGTATGGTCCAGGGTGGACGAGCATGATGAACAATAGAGCTCCTCCCTAAATCACTAAGTTAAAATTCTTCCCTATGAAGCTTTGTATCTGCCACAAAGCATTTCTCTGTGCACCTTCTTGATCTGTCATATTTTTTTTTTTTCTCTGCAGGAGTGAAGGGCAATGTGCAAGGCAACCTCTTCAAAATCATCACCAAAAATGACATTCATTATTATATCCAGGCCAGCTCCAAGGCAGAGCGAGCACAATGGATTGAGGCAATCAAACCACTGACATGAGTAAGGTGGACTCCATGCCAAATGACAAGTCACATTTGTGACCAAGTTTCCTGCTCTCATTGTCCGGGAGTGTTGTTTTTCCCTTAGATAGTCTATTTTTGTTATTTGTATTGCCATAGCACCTAGCAATTCCTGGCAGACCAGTATCCTAGGTGCCTAGGATTCATGTAGATCCAGAACAATTCCTCACCAAGAACTTACTATCTAACCAAGAGACAAAAGACAACAGGTGGATACAGACAAATGGGGCTTTACAAAGAAACAATGAGCTATAATATTCCAAGATAGAAGAAAATAATTATTTTGTACGAGTATTCGGTCTATATCTGACAGATCCAGGTTGTGCTTTGTCCTAAAGCAGAAATGTCTTGCTCCTTTCCCCTTTATAAAGGGGCTCATAAACTTAATTAGTTAAGACTGACTGAACCAAAGTCATGAAAGGTGCTGGTGTCGGAGGCTGCCTTTCTTGGTATACCACAAGAGTCTTGTGCTAAGCCATAGTCCAGCTGCCAGGATAATCACTATTGTGAAACAAACCAGGGGTCTGTCTGTCCATCCATCTGCTCTACCATTTGGTTCTCTGTTAGGCTGGAAAAGAACAAAGGATCGTCCTCTCCAGCATATAGATTATTCTTGTGCTGGTAATGGCCTATAGCAGTACGGGATCCTGAGTATCAAATCAGACCAGTGGCAGTTATTCCAGACAATTCCTGGTGCTCAATATATTGGAAGAAATCACTCAGCCGTAAAAGCAAGACTTTTCCTCCCAGTTATCACCGTAAGTCCATTTATGTGGAGCACCATTGGGACTGAGAACTCTAACAGCAGTTCTGACTATTGCTTTTTCTATTTTAAGCCATTAAATTTTCCATTATTTGTATAGTAAACTTGACTTTGATATCATTAAATATAAAAAAGAGTTCAGCGCATTTGAATCTCCTGTTCTCTTCAGACATGATTTTTCTCAGAAGGCAGTTTGAGTATATGAAAATAATAGTTTCATACACTGTAAATTTAGATTTATATAGAAACTGAGACATTCTCCACAACACCAGAGGGTAGAATGGAATGTATGAGATGATTAAAACAACCAACCAGCCTGCTGAGAGACAATTTTCATAAATTCCTTGTGTTATCTGGGTACCTGTATCTGACAGCCAGACTCTGCAGAGCCTCCAAAAGCCCTTTGAAGACTGCACGCTATATATCTTCTCTGAAGTCCCAGAGGAATTTGACAGCCATCTATCCACAGAATCACCTCTTTGCAGATTTTTGGTTCTCCAAGTTACGTAGTGAAAAAAAAAAAGTCTCTTCATCTAGAGACTTTCCCCTTCATCCTGTGTTATAACCAACCAATTATAACAGAGCCAAAGGCAGCAACTATGATATAAGCTTATATATGTATTAGAATAGTCATGTATTTAGGACTTTTTCTAAATCTACAGCAATCTAATAAGAGCACAACACTCACGTGCATTAAAATATTTAACAGAGCTGGTAAAGAAGTTTGCCAGAAAAGATGCAGTTTTAATTAGATACAAGAATGGGCAATGCCGTTTCAGCTGCAGATAGCATTTCTTACGGCTGGTCCAGAGAAGACTGTGAAATCCACAGCTGTTGAAACCTTTCAATTCATGAGAACGCTACCTGCAAGAGACAGGGATGCTGGTAAGGCATTTATTGCTCTGTACTGGAAGCACAGATGGCTTTGTGCTGATCGAACAGAGCTTCCAGGAAAAGCAATTCCCTCCTGATGACGTGAACCTTGCTGGGGGGCAGCAGGCTCCCTTATTCACTTACAAGAAAATCTCCTGCTTCTCTTTTCTCAGTCCCACCACCTGCATACTGCCCGGTTCTAATCGCAAGGATAACAGCCACCCCACTGCAGAAGACTGAGCTCTGCCAGCTGGCATGCCTGTTGGGGTTAGGGGACCATGAGGATGTGAGATACTGCATAGCATCATAAATCTTGCAGTTTGGGAGGCCAAAAGTGTACTTCAGCAAAGGCTTTCTTATTTACCTGGACCAGCCATAGCTCTGCAATTGCTGAATATGTATGAGAAAAAAAAGTGTATATTTCAAACACATCAGCAAATTAGAAAGATACAGTTCCCGCTCTCCAGAATCAGCCAGGGGAAAAAGATAAAACATTTCTCAGACAGGAGAAAGTACATTTGCCTCTGTCCCCTGGTGATATTGTGGTCTCCTTTTTTTCAAGCCACTTTGGTAAGCTTGATGTCCCCTGAGATCTGCAAAGCCTTCACCAAGTTCAGCGGCTGAATGCGGTGAGTGAAGTCACAGAGCTGCCGTCCATCAAGCAAGACTCGTATTTGCTGGTGTTCACATAAGAGCTCCATCTGCAACGGAAAAGGACATGGGAGAGTGTTAGAGATCATCAGCAGAGTTCATTTCACCAGCATGGACTTAGAACCCCATGTGATGGGGATAGTGAAGCACAAAGTCTACCGGTTCTTCTGAAATGCCCCTCATAAATAACCTGCCCTCTGCTGAGATGATACTGTAAAGCTCCTTATAGTGAGCTCTCTCCCTAAGACTGGAGAAAAGGAATGGATCTCTCCCATCAGGGCTTGAACTGTTGCTCTCTGTGCCATACTAGACTAGTTAACCTGGTGATGTCAATAGTTAGCTATTTGTGGTCATATACGTAGCCTTCAGCCTTTCTCCCCCCCTTTTCTCCACCCTAGTCATAGTACTCCAAAAATTACCTTAAATGTATCGCCTGCTGTAAATGGGAAGTAGGGAATAGTCTTCTCTTCTCTTCCCCATTTCCCAGCAATTCGTGCATTTCGGGTGATGGATTTGTCACTAAAGTTAACTGTAAATAACAGCCCAACATCTTTGTTTGCATCCACTGGATCACAGAGCAGAGTCACTGAAAAGCTGAAAAAACAATTAAATGACTGGGACTTTCAGAAACGTGAAAGGATGTGGTGAACACAGCAGATGCCTATAAAGACTAGAGACAGCTGTTGATTTCTTGTCAGACTGAAACATGGGACTTCTACAGGCTTAGAAGCTGCAGAAAGGGATGATAACAGGCTGGTCTGTTTCTCCTCTGGTTTCCGGTAGGATGGTAGTGACTTTTGATGTTGCTTTCCCTCTGTTGTGACTGAAATCAAACCAACATTTATGCATGAGCCAATTCTAATTTGTGTCCTAAAAGAGGTTTATGGAAGCACTGGAGTTGATTGCTGTAGATGCAAAAAAGTGTAATGATAAGCATAATTGCTGTCATCCAGATTAAACACAGCAATGAACCTGCACTTCCTGTGCCAAACCCACTGTTTTTTAAATGGTGTAGATTTCAGTCCGCAGCAGAAAACCAAGATGTGGGTTCAGAATTGCACCTCTTCCTGGAGGAGAAATGCCACTTGTGTGCCCTCTCCGGTTCGCATTAGATAAGGGCAAGGAGTAGAAAATCCTGACAGAGCAGTCAGAAAGGCTGAACAATGAATTATTTCTTGCCCTTTTAATCTTAGCCTAAGAGCAGGAAAATTAAAGCAAGCCATAAATTATGAATCTGTTTGACTTTCTTCTTCCAAAGAGCACAGACCCCCAAGAAATCTTTTGAACTTAGAAGACAGGTAGGAGCACATACGACGGAGTGAAGCCCCCACCAGCCCCTTCACCTACCTCTTGGGGTTGGAGTGTACCATTCCTATGACCGTGAGTTTCATGGCTGGTCTGAGGCCACCTTTAATTTCACCAACATACTGCTCCACCTGCAGGGAACAGTGAAAATGCTCTGCGGTAGGTCATGCCGTGGGTAAACCAGCTGCTTTGGTCACCTCATATAACTTGATTTTATTTTTACATGTACAAAAGAACTTAAAAATATTTCCAGCCTAAAGCACTTCTTGCACTTTTGGTATAAATTCTGTCAGTTCTGCTATCTGAGGTGAGCGAGAGAGCCGCCATAACTGAACTACTGGTAACGAGGATGGCTGCCTGACAGGACTGCTGACTCCGGTGGGCAGTTTCTGAACAAAACTGCTGTCAGCAAGACGAGTGGCCGCTGTCCATGCTCTACCTGACTGATATGTGTGAGTGACGACCCTGACGGCATGCCTCGGGTGGCTCAGGGAACAGCCACCACTGACCTCAGGTGACTGACGCCATGCCCCAAGCCCAGAGCAGGTACTGCAAGCGCTTTGGTGACCCACACGGCTCATGAGTGACAGGACTCGGACGGCTGACACACCTGGACCCACCAGTGATGACTGCTATGGTCTAACGACACAATAAATCTGGTTGCAGGGCTCCATGCAGCAGATCAAAAGCTTTTAAAAAGCACAGACTCTTCGTGAACTTACTCCGCCAGCTCAAATCCATCAACAGATGTCAGCAGGCTGACTTGACACCAACAGGCTTTACACCAGGCCAGGCAGTCTCTGTCCTCCACCATGAGAGCACAAAGCCAGCAGAGATGCTGCCCCGCTGCTGCATGTTGACAGAAACGCAACCATGTCCTCACAGCCGATCCCAGTCACACCTGTCCCCACCACTTTTTCAAAGCCAGGAAATGGCTTCTCTGTGGAGCTGCTTTTGTTCCGTTCACAGAGACCTGTACTTGCAAACTCCACCCGAAGATCAGAGCTACATTTACTTGCTCCAAGTAATTCTCTAACAGCTTTGACAGTCAGTGGAGAAACTAATACAGGCGATGGTTGACATGGAAAAATAAGAGAGAGAGCTTGGAAACAAGTGATAGGGATGTTTTGAGACTTCAGGTTCAGAAATGGCTTTAAGATGCAAATACCAGAGTACTACATTGTAGCATGTAATCACTCCCTATGCAGATTCACTTAGAAAGAAGCTGCTATAAAACACGAAACGTTATTAGCAATTTGTGCAACACTGATAATATTCCAAGGCAATGCACAGCAGACCCTATTTTAGATAAAAAGCGCTTTATCATTCCAGTGTTCCAAGGTAAAAATTCAGCCATTTTTTGCTAGAAGACCTGCACAATATATGCATGGTTTAATATTTTGACTGTGAGAAGCACTACATCAGCATGGAAACCCACAGACTTCTGTTCACAGCAAATGGGCTTCCATTCAAGTCTAAGTTGCTACAAGTACTTCATACGTATTTTTAAATTTTGGAAAATACAACCGATGTTAGATTTTTAAATTATTGAATGCCAGCTTGCTTAATGGAAACACAAATTGGAGATGAAAATTGTTTTGCCTATACTCTATCTCCTAATTTCAATATACTAATTATATCTTCTGCTAAGATGATCTTAAACAATTTATTTTCCCACTTTGATATTTACATCCAGCCACTTTTACAGCTACACAGATATATTAATAAAGCTCTAATTCCCGACAAGGCCAATATTGGAAGAAATTAATTAAAAGTACCTTAAAAAAAATGACAGCACTACTGCTGATTGTTAATAATGTACATATACCCTTGCAGAAGTGGGCAGATGACTCCAGCAGGTGTGTTTTGAACTTTGTAACAAAAGGAAAGCATCAACCACCTGAGATGCCGTACATGAGGGAGCAGCCTCTCAAGAAGTCTGACTGTAAGGAGATACTTTAAACTGGATAAAGCAATTAGAGAGTGGGTAATAAGCATAAAAGATCCCAGGCTAAATGAACTTCATTCTCATACCGGTCCTGTGTCCCACTAAAGCTCCTTCCTTGCCTGCACAAGAGATAAGACACAAAATAGTACCCCAAATTGAAAGTGCACGTTGAGAAATTGTTTGCACAGAGCTGCACCATAGTAAGCACCACCATTAAAGGCACAGGGAATCATTCAGAACTGAGTAGATCGAACGACGACCACGTGGTTCCAACACTTACAGCTCGTCCAGCATGGCTGAAGTGGCATGACTACCCATGTGCCATTTCTCTGCCGACATTGAGTTGACAGTACAGGTGAAAAGTACTCAGGATGCCGTAGGAGGTAATGGTACAAACTCCTGCAGCATCTTACGTGGTTTATTGCTGGGTCCCAGCATGTGCACATGGACATACCCCCTTCCCGTATTTTCCATTCAGGAGCCCTGGGGACTCACTCAGTCACTTACTTTGGGACACCTCTCCTCTGTCATCACCGCTCTGCCTCTTACCGCAGCAGTCCCTGAAGAACTTTTTGTTTTGTGTGTCAGGACAAAAGCAAACAAAAAGCCCAGAATAAAGGGAGGATGTTGGGGGGGTGCTTATCTCTGCCAAACACTGGTTGGACACCACCCAGCCGAGCAGCTGAGTCATGGCCCTCCGCGCCTCATCCCACTCGGGAAGCTCACAAGTAAGACGGCAGTGCGGGCGAGCGGGCAGGGGGACTGTAAGGGTGGGCAGGCGACCACCACCCTGCACGGGAGTGCCTGGCAAGCCGACGTCTGTATCTGTATCCATGCCTACACATTTTTATATGAGGATTTAAAAGTATGTGTGTGTGTGCATAATGTATTGTATTTGTATATGTAATACATATAGATAGCACGTAATTTATTTACTTTAATACCATTTCTGTCTTCTCTCAAAGCGGTAAATATGTGTATAATTTATATCCCTATGCGGACCTGTATATATAGAGGTATACATATTAGGTTATACACATATACAAGGGGTAAATATACACACATACAACGTATATATCCCCTATATGTATACCTCTCTCTACATATGTCTGTATATAATATAGATATATATAGCCTCCCCTCTAAGAGATGACGCAGAGACTCTCACGCCATGAGCTACTCCCCCGCCCTACACCGCCTCACAGATCCCGCCGGTTCCTGGGCCAACGGCAGACCGCGCAGAGGCGCCGCAGGGGGCGGCCCCACTGCGTGCCAGGGGGCGGAGCTTCGGGTGGAAGCCAATCAGAGCCACAAGAGGCCCGAGCACGGGGAGGAGCTGGCGTATGGTAAGAAGCGGCTGCGGAACGTGCCGGTGGGCGGGGGTGGGC